CAATCATCATTTAATTAACTCGTTTTTCTTACTTATTAGTTTATTAAATAATGAACTAAATTTAAAAATTTGATTAATTCAAATGATGTGGCTGTCCACATCAAATGCCACCTGAGGTGGTATGAAAATCTGGTACAAAAACATGGTATGAATATCATTACTCATTTGATAAAGGGTTGTTTGATTGGCACCCATATTTTGTTGATTACACCCTACATGCTAAAAACACCCCACATCTATTTTTTAAATTAAAAAAAAAATCTTAATACATCCCACATTCTTTCTCAAGTTACCCTCAGACCCTAAACTCTTCACATACACCCCACATCAAACTCACGTATTCATCTGCACAAACTTGTTTCCACCAGTTTTTTTTTTCAATTTTCATATCAGTAACCTATATAATTCTTCAATATTTCCTTTAGTCGAAATGGGTTTTCATTAAAGCAAAGACAAAAGGACACAAGCCTCACCCAAACTAACTCGAGGGCAAAAGGGTTCGAGTCTTGCAATTGTATGCATATATATTGAAGTGATGGAGTTTCACATTGAGTTTTCAAACTTTTACGGAAAACCGGTTCATTATTTTCTGGAAAAATAGTCATATTGCTTATGTGAGAGCATAGAAGTAAATTTTAGGCATGACTCAAAGAAAGAACTTGGGATGTATTTAGAATCTTCTTTTTAATTTTTAGAACAACTTAGGGCTTAAATAACCATTTTATAAGCTATTTAATATTAAATTATTATATGAAATATAGTCAATAAAATATGAGGTGTTAATAAAAAAAAGCTTTGATAAAATAAATTAAGATTGAGTGACTGATGAATGAGTGAAAAAGTGAGGTGAGGGAGGTGGTGACCTGCTGTCCCCGTTGCCAGTGAGCTCGCGTGCTGTCTGTTATGGCAGGTTGGTGCGGCGGTGAAGCCTCATTTTCACCCGACAACTGCCTGCACCCGGTTACTTGTCAGTCACTCACTCCAATATTCCCCACGCACACACACCCCCACAGTTTACTCAAACAAGAAAGAGAAGAAACTAAACCATATCATTTGAATGAACCTATACTGCACTTTAGAATTTTCAACATATTTTATGGTTTTGCTTCACTTTTTTCCCTACTTTTTCTTTGTCACTTTCTTGAGAAAATGTTGGCTGGTTGTTGTTACTTTCTTTTTTGGCTCACTCAGTTGCAGAGAATTGAAGCCTGCTGCTGCTCTGCAAAGAACTAAAGAAGCAGACACTTTTGGTTCTGGGAAACTGGGATCTGAGAAAGAGCTATCTTTCTCGCACCCCCGATAAACAAGGCTCGCAGAGCAAACACACCTGGACATCACGGTGGTGACAAACACTGACCTAGGTGGTCACGTCACAAAATGGATTTTCATTGTTTAATCTATGTGTAGGTGTATGTACGAAGAAAAGGGGTTCGTTACAGGATGAGGATGAGGAGAAACATGTTATAATGTTCGGTATTTAAACAGATATTTAACGTGGTATAAAATAAGTAGAAAAATACGAAAACATATATCACATCGTTCACTTATATTATATGTAGTGTATTACTTGAATACCCGCTATGTAAAAAAAGGGTCTCACATAAGCATATGAATATGAAGGGACTTTTCAAAAGGGCGTGATGGGCATTGGACCCTGCTCGGTCAGGTTAACATTTCAACAAAAACAAGCACATAATTTTATAGGCCATCATTTCAATTTATTCTTAATTTCTTATTGTTTGAGAAAAAGAGAAAAGAGAAGCACTCATTTTCTATATGGGACTAATATGATTTGGCGTAGTAGAGTGGTGACGTTCAACCTTGAAGTTGTTGCCCTTTCCCATTTCTCTTCTCTTCATTAGCTACTAATGAGTAATGAATTACAAAACTTTGTAGCAAATTTTGGATCAAAAAGGTTTATATGATGGCTCTTTTTTTTTTTTTTTGGGGCCCATATATACATAATGACTGCAAAAGTTTAGTAATAATTAATGTTATATATGGTGGCTATTTTAATTTCAAAATTTTGGATCCCGCCCTAAGTATAATTTCATGAACTTCAAAAAAAAAATTTCTTTCGAAACCTGTATTGCACCAGGAAAATTGTTACGAGAAGTTTATCATGATGTTTTTGGAGTGTTGATGCCTTTTTATGTAAAGAAATTAAATAAACTCTCAAATTTCAGGTTGTAACGTTTGTAGCAACTCAAATTTTTTGTTTCCAGCTGAGAAGAGGTGGCCTCTCTTCTGCTGCTCGGGCATGAATTTCTGCCTAAGTAATTACTAAATTGATTAAATGAAAGAGAGTTTGTGAACTAAAACTAAATTAAAATTTTGAAACAAATGAGTAACCAAGTAACAGAAAATTGCAGCAAAGCCATCTATGTTCATTGTTCACCCTTTTTCTTCCGTTGTGCATTCTAGAGAGCGAAGTTTTTTTAGTATGTCTGAAACACAATCTGGTACCCCAAATGTCCTCATACAATTTATTGAAGAAAAAAAAATTCAGTTTAGAACCAATTGTATTATTACATTTAATATACCGGACTATGTTATGAAAAGTCTCTCCTAAAAAGCTAATTGGTTCTGATCAAAGTTACCTTAACACGATAGCTTTATTCATTCAATGAAAGAATTATCAAACCGAAATGCATGAAAATGCAACCACCACGGCTTAGCTCAGTGGTTGGAGTCAAATTTTAGACCCATATGCCACACGGTATGTAGTGGACTCAAATTCTGACGTTGGTGAATCATATGATGGTGACCACGGATAAGCTGAAAAGCCTAAGTAAGTCTTGCTAATCTCAACTGTAACGAAGTCATCTACTAATTTTTTTTTAATAAAAAAATTGCTTAAACATGCAGTGATAACATTACTTTATGTGGCATATGTGTCTCAGGAAATGGAAGACATATTTTTTACTTTAACAGTAGTACAAAGTGCGCACGAACCATCCTAGCCTATGTGATGGGTTTAAGTGTAGTAAAACTTATTTTTATATGTGAAGCATGTTACTTAATTAATTTGCTAATAACTACCTCGACTTGCATGCTCACATAAAAAGCATGCCTTGACGTAAGCAAACTCTTATCAGTATTGTTTAATACGAGAAATTTTTCAGTGTGATCGATACACGGGGTAGTACACCACATGTCATTATACAAATGTTGGGATATGTGTGTTAAAAAGTTAATAACTTAAAAAATAAAATTTCTCACCACTTATATAAAAACACGTGATATACCCCTCGTGTTCCGGTTACAATGAAAAATTTCTCGTTTAATACAATGATTTTTCCTTTTGTTACATGCAATACAAACAAAATTCAATAAGAAAATCACTTAGTACTACGATCTAGGACTCTAGTGGTATTTTTTGGTATTTTTTTCACTTGTAAATGAAAAATTTTAGGTTCGATTCTCGCCAAAAACGAATTTGAACAACATTATTATAGCTCGCCCATTGTGAGGCTTAGTCCACTACCCAACCACCTCTTGTGTAGATAATATCGTTTGTTCATAAAAAAAAATGGGAGGCATTGAGTGGGTTGGTCTAGTTGGATTTCAACCCATTGGCCAATCCAACATGCTCAGGTTGGAATTGTTCAGACCCATTTCCATCTAAGAAAATAGGCAAACCAATTCACCCAAACCATTCTTAAGCAGGTTGGATTGGGTGAGTTTCATTAGTTGTACTTGATTAATTTCTTTCTTATTTCTAATGAGTATGAGCGACAAAATAACCAATGCTTACGTAAAATTATGCCTAAATCAAGAGGATTGTTTGATGTTGTTATATCACTACAAATTACTAATACATAAATTTCAGTATTCAAATCAATAATTAATAAACAAGTGCCTAAATCATGTGCGTTAGGAACAAAAAATGTTTCTTTATAGAAGTACTTTTTATGGCAATTATTTTGATGCTCCATGAAAACATGAGGTACTTTTGCATATATAAAATGCAAAACTATACCTAGACTTCCTAAATCATAACCATGCTTCTTGAGCTCCCGTGCTTATTCACTCTGAATTTTATCCATTCAAGACACATTCTTCTTTTTTGTCCTACTACTAAAACTTTTCACACTTGCAGCTTTGAAGTTCCAAATTATGGTACAAAGATTCCTAATTCTTTAGAGATTAGTCCCTAAAGTTAATACGAAGCAACATATAACCTAGTGTGTAAAGAGCACCCATGCACTCCATCAGAAAGCTATGGAATGTGATCATTAGGGGACATTTTTATACTACATTAGAGTTGGAAACTCATTGCTCGAGATAGTAAAAAATTTCAATCCATTTAGTCCTATTATTGTCATATATTACTACCCAAAGTTGTGACAAATGACAAGAAAATATGGACAAAAAGACTTCAATGTATGTATCAGTTAAATATAAAAAGTAGGGAACATTTTTAAAATATCATATGAACTTATACACTTTTATCAATTTGTCATATGAATAAAAATTCTAAGCGAATTGTCATATCAACTTTCTGAAAATATTAATTTGTCATTTCATCCTAACACCATTAGGTTCTCCATCCAAAATAAGTGGTGTTTCTTGCACATGACTTGTGTTTAGGGCTATTTAGAAAATTCTCCACTCCCCTTCTAAAAAGTTATCTTCGACAAAACAAAAATCTAAGATTTCTAGAAACAAAAATGAAACTTAATTCTCTTTAACAGTATAGTCCTCAAAACACATATAACATGTTCTTGAAGTATAGTTGTCCTCTAAAACAATAGTAAATATCAAACTTAATGGTGTTAGGATGAAATGACAAATTAATGATTTTGGAAAGTTGATATGACAAATCGTTTACAACTTTAGTTATTTGACAAATTGAAAAAAGTGTGTAAGTTCATCTGACATTTCAAAACTTTCCTAAACTTTATCTATTACATGACTAATGCCCTTCACAATGGGTAGAAAAATTGAGTGTGATACCCATAATATAGGAATCAAATTGCTACAGTGGACAAAAAATCTGAGTAAAATGAGAGTGATTCTTATTTTTTTGTAGTTCAATGCAATGAGCTTCGCATCCGTATTATACAAAATAAAGATTGCGGTGCATATTGAAGTTGTAAGGACACAATATTCCTATCTTTGTATGTATCATACATGGAGTTTACTTAACCAACACAAGTCTCTAGGAAAAAGACAACTCAATACTCAAAGCCCCTTTGATCATAGGAGAAAAAAGAACACTCAAAACGCCATCTTGTATTTGAAAGGCAGTCAAAACACCATGTTTTGCATGAAATTCGGGTGAGTAATAACTCTATATGTATGGTTATAACCAAAAGCACACCATTTGAAGCATGGCTATAACGTGGTCAAAGCTTTCTTTAGTTCAAAGCCATCCTTTGTTTGTGGGCCTCAGTTGGTAGCTTCACATCAGTTGCCAATCCAATAGCTTGGAGAAATCTTACAACATACCATGTCATGTCAAGCTGCCACCATTTCAGGCCATGCCTAGCCGAGTACTCAAATGCATGGTGATTGTTGTGCCAACCCTCTCCAAACGCTAGTATTGCCACCCACCTGAACAAATCCACATTTCCTTCAGAATTTTCCATCTAAAACTGAACAACGCAATCAGCCCAATAATGCTTTAACCCAGCCCACATTGTCATACACAAGTTTCTAACCAATTTAGGTTGAGAAATGTAAAGGAACTACTAGAGAAAAACTTGGTGGGAACTTCCTTACCATGTGGCGCACATTGAGTATCAGACATTGTTTAGTTAAAACTTAACACGTTCTATAACTTTTATAAAATATTAGAATAAACGTGATGCTTCAACTGAATGGTGTCTAGCACTCAATTTGTTACATGACACGGAAGTTCCACCCAATTATTTTCTCTAGATGATGGGGTTGTGGACAAATAGTAGTACCAATTGTTCCTAGACAAGTCACCGGTATTCCATGCTCTGTTTCCCCAAACGTGGCAAGCTGAGTTAACAAGCCAAGTAATGTGGTATACCCATATAGTCCTCACACCCTGCAATATTAAAATTGAAGCACGTTTATGTCCAAGAAATGGGAATCCTCCCACTGCATTTAGTAGGAGTTCAAGAGCAAATAATGAAAGGCTCTCAATTCATCTTACCATTCCCCACACAAGGAATGGGAATCCTCCCATTGCATATAGTACAAGTCCAAGAGCAATAGGGTGAGCAATGTAAGTTTTATGCAGGAGCTGATAGAAGGGCTGCTTCTGTAGATCCCCAGCATTATTTGATCCCCCACACTGCAAATGTTAAAAGCATAAAATATATATTTTCTTTAGAAGGAAAAAAAACAATGAATACGTTTTGATCTGTATGCAAAAGACCTTTTTAGCCACAATAGTCTTGAATATTCACTTAACTCCTCATTTTAGTAATTGACAAAGAAAATTGATAGAAGTGGCCATGAGTTTGTTCATCGTAAACCATTTTGGTCCTTTCGGGAAAATCGGTCAATATTCTCGTTAAATTGTCACGTGACTACCTTTACAAGGGTATTTTTGTCAAACCAACCCCTCAACTTGACGAGAATATTGATAGATTTTTTATAAAACGATCAAAATGATTTACGGTGGACAAACTCAAAGACAACTTCTATTGATTCTTAGTGTCAGAAACCAAACTAAAGAGTTATTCCAATTTTAGAGATAATTTTAGCTAAAAAGCCCACGTAGAACTAAAGGAAAAAGAAATTCATACCCTTTCATTCACAGATTTGGTATCAAAGAGCCAACTCATGTGACTGTACCAGAAACCTTCAATTGGGCTATGTGGGTCTTTCTCAGAATCACAGAACTGGTGGTGGTACCTGTGCACACTCACCCAATCAATTGGGCTCCCCTACAAACCCAAAAAACACAATCAATCGAACACAAAAAAAAAAATTAAATAAATAAAATCATTAAAAATAGGTAAAAATATTTGGAGGTAGGCATTCCAAAAATTCAACTTTTCTGCTAATAATAGTTTGACACATATGAGAAAAAAAAAGGTTCAGAGTTAATAGTGCAATCGTGTCAAACTGTGAATGGTAGAAAAAAAGTGACCACCGAAAGTGTTTTGAAACACAACCAAATTCAAAATTGAAATCCTCACCTGAAGTGCTTGGGATCCACAATAAGCAAATAAGTACTCAAGAAACTTGGGGAGCTTGAAACTCTTGTGCGAGAGATTCCTATGAAAAGAAAGAGTGATTCCAAATAGACCAGTCACAACATAAAGTGCCACTGCCACCCAAAAAGCTCCCCAATTGAATTGAAAAGGTGCAAAAAGGCTAAGCAAATGCATTGCCGCCACCACACCAGCTGTGGCCACGTCCATTGGAATCCACTTTCTACCCATAAACACATTCTTCGGCCTCTTCACAATCACATCAGAAAGTAGAATTCTCTTAAACTTGTACTCTCCTGTCTCTGTTAGTTCTGGTTCCAGGCTTCAGACAATGCTGCATTGGTGCTTAATGCTGATGCTTTTCTATTAGAATTGGTAAGAAAAAGGCTGAAAAGCTTTGTGCTTGTTAAAAACTTATTGGGTTGTGATTGTTTTGAGTTACAATGATCAAAAGTGAGGAGCTTGGAGCTCTGGGGCAATGGCCTTAGACCCAAAACTGGTCTTCCCGGCCGGAGAAACGTGCGGCGAAGATGAAAACAATGGTGAGTTTTGGGATTCGACTGTGGTGATGTGATCAAATCCATGGAAGAGGAAGAGGAGGAGGAGGAGGGCGTCTTAGAGTTTGATACAAAATTGGGTTTTTCACAAAACCATCAAAAAGTTTAAATAATCTGCAGAGTTGGGTTGGAGGGTTTTGGTGGGGCAGAGAGTTTGTGACTTTGTGGTGGAGTAGTCGTTGCAAGATTTGTTAGATTTTGTTCAAGTTGTAGACTGAAAGGGAGAGAAAGAGACAAGAAAGATGGAGATAAGGCGGCGTTTGGGTTTTTGGGCCGTTTGGGTTGTAGAAACCAGAATGTATAGGATCCAGTTATATTTTATCCTAATTTTTCATTTTTTAAAAAAAATAATTTTTGTGACATTTGTTCTTATTGGTTAAAGGGGTGGAGAGATATTTGTGTAAAATTTGTGTCTCTGATTGCTCGTCTGCTTATTTGTCATCATCTCCCTCAAAGAAGTATCTATTTCTGGTCTTCTTCATAGTACACTTGCCCATCTGATGAGCTAGAAAGAAAGAACGAAGGAAAGAGTCGTAAATGGCTGCAGCAACAAAATCTTCGATCTTTGCGGCGTCCACACAACCTTTTCCTACCACACCGTCCATTTTTGGTAGCAAAGCAAGCCCACCTGTTTCAAACACTCTTGGTATGCTTCTCCTTAATCGGTTTCCTTTGTGTGGGATTCTAGATTGAATTACAAGGAACTAGCTATAGTACTTGCAAGTACCATCACCGATATGCACCTTGGAATCTTGGATGTCGTTACAGTATATCTAACCGTCAGATGGTGATAATATTAAGTACTTATAAGTATTGTAGCCAAATCCGAAATATATAGATGCAGATGTGGATTATTTCAGTTGGCCAGTGAGTCCGGCCCTTGCACTCAAGTTCGAATCCCCGACCCTGTCCATTAGAGGAATTTAGAATATCTTATTGTGAAAAGAGAAAATAAATATAGATGGTATAGTTACCATAATTGTTCATGGGTTAGTTTTAAAAGCTTTTAATATGCCACAACAAAAAGGGAATTATGGAAGATTGTTTCTACTTCAGCTGGAAATTCGGAACTCATACCTTAAAAGGCTGGCAATTAGAACGGTTCTATGAAGTGTGTCCATGTCTATGCTGTTTACGTGGCTTTTAAATGATATTATCTTAATCACTTAGTTAGATACCACTATAAATGTATCCAACATCAGCTAAAGCAGGCAAGGTGTAATTCAATATGCTAAAATGCTAAAGCCATCAAAGAGTTTAGTTAAATTTGAGCAGGTTTGATTATACATTCATTTTTTTGGTGTTTGTGAAGAAATATTTTCATAATTTTGAAAGTGTTTCTGTGATTACATGTTCTATTTTAACTTCCATAGTTCGCCGCAAAGTATCTATGTTTTCTGTTCATAACATCGGATCATAAGACTTTTTAAGACCAAATGGATAACACTTGAGCAATGTAATGCAGCTAGCAGTTTTCGGGGTTCATCGTTGGCGAGGTGTCCTTCGATAAGGAAGAAAGTTGTGAAGGGCAATGCGAAAGTCAGTGCTGCTGCAACAACTTTTGCACCAACTCCCTGTAGAGGAACCCAAAGAGTATGAGCGTTCACTCCCTCTTACTGCAATTGCATTACTACATTTACTTACCTATCGCTAAATCTTTACTTTGGTATTATTTTTCGGGATTTCTAGTCGTTCTTTGAGCAAAAAAGAAAAAAAAAAACTAATGAAATTAAACATCACCTGCATGACAGTGTCGTACAAGCAGAATTCTTTCATTGAAATAAGATTTGTCAATATTTGTTTTCTCCTCTTTGAAAGGCTAAAATTAACCTTGGTAAAGTTAAAATTGTAAATTTCGTCTTTTCAGGTTCTCACTACCCTCATGGGCTATGTTTGAACTTGGGAGAGCTCCTGTGTATTGGAAAACCGTGAACGGTCTTCCTCCTACCGCTGTAAGTATGGCATTGTAATAAAACTAGTTGGGTTTTCTTAATCGTCGTTTTCTTACGATAAACTCGTTCGCAAAATCTGGCAGGGAGAAAAGCTAAGGATTTTCTACAACCCAGCTGCAAATAAAATTGTCCCAAATGAAGAATATGGGATTGCATTTAATGGTACTTGAACACAATGTCCTATTATTTATTGTTAACCTTGTGCGTTGTTTGCCTCTTCATGTGCTATGTGATGCTACTTTGAATGAGGGTGTTGGCTTGACATACATTGTTGTCGGGATTCCTAACAACTTGAGTTTTTTTTTTTTTTTTTTTTTTTGTTAACCGCAATGGTAGTCTAAACTACTAACCCCCTTCATAAGTTTTTCTCCCCGACTTCCAGCATTGACAATCCTCTTGACTTTACTTAATAGCCATGAGGGAGTCGTAATAATGCTTAAATGAATGACCCGGAGATTGTCTTGGCTCCTTGTGCTGCTTCTACCGGCTTTGGAGCTTCGAAATTCTCCCCACATTTTAACTACTCAAATCGTATTTTCTCTAGATAACTTGAAGTAAGTTGAGGTTCCATCATAGAACCAATTGGCAGTACAAGGAGTAGCCCACTTGCTTATAAGCACATGCAAGGTCCCTCCTCACATCAATCTGGGATTCATTCTCAACATTGCTCCTCCCAGATTCCTTTACAGCTAAGTTTTTGATGTGCAATGGTAGTTTTGTACTCATATCTCATTTACACAAGGCCGAAACGAATGATTTGGAGTATGTCTTGGCTCCTTGTGCTACTTCTATGCCTTTGGAGCTTCAAAATCCTCCCACATTTCACTTACCTCGTTCATTTTTCTTTTCTAGCTTCTCTCCCCTTCCCGTCATATCTTTCCTTTCGTAAATCCAAATTCCAGGGTTTCATGCCTATGTTGTAACTCATTGATCGGAAATGCCTAACTACTTTAGTTTTTTAAACCGCAATGATAGTCTAAACTACTAATCCCTTCATAAGTTTTTCTCCCCGACTTCCAGCATTGACAATCCTCTTGACTTTACTTAATAGCCATGAGGAATTCGTAACAATGCTCAAATGAATGATCTGGAGATTGTCTTGGTTCCGTGTGCTGCTTCTACCGGCTTTGGAGCTTCGAAATTCTCCCTACATTTTATCTACTCAATTCGTATTTTCTCTAGATTACTTATAAGCACATGCAAGGTCCCTCCTCCCATCAATGTAGGATTCATTCTCAAAATTACTCCTCCTAGATTCCATTATTGCTAAAAAGTTTATGTGCAATGGTAGTTTCATAATCATTTTCATAAGTCCCATTATATTTCTAACAGCATTGTTGTTTGCCTCTTGACTTCGCATATAAGCCATTAGGGATATGGAACAATGCTGAAACGAACAGTTTGGAGTATGTCTTGGCTCCTTGTGCTACTTCTATGCCATTGGAGCTTCGAAATCCTCCCACATTTCATTTACCTCGTTCATTTTTCTCTTCTAGTTCCTTTCCCCTTCCCTTCATATATTTCGTTTCGTAAATCCAAATTCCAGGATTTCATGCCTATGTTATAACTCATTGATCGGAAATGTCCTACTTCTGTGGCTGAAAAATCAGCTGAATATGCCTTTGCCCTTTCAATTCTTGGTCACAGTTGCATTTTATTTACTTGGTTGTATTCTTGTCTTCACAGGAGGTTTTAATCAGCCTATAATGTGCGGCGGTGAGCCAAGGGCAATGCTTAGTATAAACCGAGGCAAAGCCGATTCCCCAATGTATTCCATCCAAATATGTATTCCCCGGCATGGTTAGTATCATTCAGTTAAGTTCATCTTTCATTTCTTGGCCATATAACGTTGTTTTTCCTAACCAACTGTTCTAAATTCTCCAGCCCTGAACTTAATCTTTTCGTTTACAAACGGAGTTGATTGGGATGGTCCTTACAGACTACAATTTCAAGTTCCCAACGGTTTGAAGAACAAACCGATTGAATTCTTTAACGAGGTAAAACTCATCTTGTCAAAGTTCAAATCGGGACTATATGGTGCTCAAAGAATCTATGAAATACTAATGATATCAGCTATCAGAATTGTTGAATCAGTTCTAACAAGTTTATTCTGTACAACTGTAACTGAAAATTTTGCATCGTTGTATTTGGATGATGCGTTCATGGCAGGGACTAGCAGAAGAGTTGAGTAAAGACGGTGCATGTGAGAGAGCAATCTTTCCTGATACGTTTGTTGTCGTAACAAGATGCAATATGATTGGGAATTTGACAGTTGAAGGAGTAAGCAAATTGTTCATATTCACAACAACATTATTTTCTCAAGTGAAAGTGCCAAAATGATTTGTAAATTTAATTGTTCCGCCATTGCAGGGCGATCGTTGCAACCTTAATCTCGTACCAGGATGCACAGATCCCAGTTCACCATCCTACGACCCGCTTGCCAATGTGGATGACGGATCATGCCCAATGGAGCTAGAGTAGCATAGTGCAGTCAGTAATACATGCCCATCTTACTCGTAAATATGTCACGGTGTGTAGTACATATACGGTATCTGTCTAGAAAATGCCTGTCTTATTGAGGAAACTACACTGAGATTGTTGGTTTCATAGAGTTTATACAAGTCATAGTTGCAATCTCATCCAAAGTATTCAAGCCGCTTTTGCTGATTTCCTAAAGAAATTCGGGTAGTCGGAGCTTCCGAACGTTTTCTAGCTGCATAACTTAAACATTTTTTGTATGTCTTTGAATAAGAAAACTGAAAAGAAAGATTCATGCAAATCACATTGGACATGTTGATTTGGTGCCTTCCGTTGTCATGATAGATTCTTCGAAGACGGAAGAATTCTTTGCGAATGGCCAACCGACGCGGATTTTGATCGCTTTACGGCAAGGAATTAGGCATGTGAATGTTGTGAGGCCATTTGTTTTGCGTTTTTGTTCCAAAAGGTGTGGGTGGGAAGGTAAAATTCGCAGGAGGAGATTTGAATGGGAATAGGTAGGGGTAGGTTCGGTTCCGAATCTATCCGAAATGCGCGGCGCAAAAATCAAGCCAAACCAAACAGTTGGAGAAGGTCAAATAAACTTTTACATGAGTGAAAAACCGAAACCGAAATGATTATTGTGGTTTCCCGATATTCGGTAATACCAAAATGGTTTTGGTTTTTTCGATCGGGATAAGCACACAATATGTTGGGGCATAGAATGCGGGATTGAAGTGATAATAATTACAATTAAAAGAAGTAATCCATATTATATGTACGGATTTCGATTCATTTTTTTATGAAGGAAAGTTGATCAGAGTCGGACCGTAACAATTCCCATAACTAATCCTTATTTTTATAAAAAAATGAGAATCCTTTTCCTTAAACGCTTTATATATAAATATATATATGTATTACGGTTTGGTGATATTTCTCTTCAGTTAGAAGTAAGAGGTCTTAGATTTGAATCTCGTAAATAGTGAATTCAATACCAAATTAGGTTACTCATTGTGTGGTTTAGCCGAACTCTCTCTCCCTTTAGTATAAAAATATCGATATATTAAAAAAAAAAAAAAAATATTCCATTCGGTTCAATCTTAACAAAGTAACCTATGTGTCATACCAATACCTGACCGAAATTTTCAATTTCAATTACTGAGTTTTTCAGTATTTTCGGTTCTGTATCGATATGGATTAGGTCCCTTCTCAATTTTTTCGATTTTTCATTACCACAGGGGGAATGGGTTTTGAAGGTAATTAGGTTACCCTCCGCTATGGATTTGTTCACGATATTTCATGAGGCACCAATTATTTAGAATGCCCCAACCATCAAATCACTACCAAGTACCTACTAATTGACCACAAATTGTTTTTAAGCAAAAATACTATGAAACTATTAAAAAAAACATTGATTGGAAGTGGTTAGTAGCCAAACCCCATCATCCCTTTTCCCAAATCCTCACTTTGTTAGGTCTAATACTCGTTTTCTCCCTTATTCATTAGCAATTAGTCATTATATGTTAACCAAATCAAGGAATTAGGAGTGTTATTAATTACCATTTTATTTCCTTTTGTGGTTGGAAGTCAACAAGAAGAATCATATAAACTCACTTTTTGAAAAGAAAACAAATTAATTGAGAAAAAATTACTTCTAATTCTAACCCCAAAAAAGCACTCTTCGATATCTAATATCGGACAAAATTACACCCACCCCCCCTATCAGTTTTAAGTATGGAAAGTACTTTCTCCGAGTTTATGATGGATTATTTCTGCTTATGCGTCAAACTGCGTTTTATGGTGAGGAGATGATTACGTTTGCATACATGTCAAACTGCGGTTTAAGAATGGAAAGTTCTGTTAAGAAATACACTCTTGAAGAAATTAACAACAAATGGTCCCCAGACAATTGAGCTGGTTGAGCTCTCTTTCTGACTCTATACAAGTTCATACACCTACTTTCATTTTCTTATCGAAAAACATACTCAAATTCCTACCCCAAAACAACCTGCCTACATTCCCATCCGTTCAAGGAAACAGAGCCTCTTTGGTAGAAGTTGATCTCTTGCTTTCCTCATACTTTCCGGCCAGAGAATCAAACAGAAAACCGGCTCCAACCCCCACGGCCAAGTCTATCGTGTAGTGCCCTCTTGTCCCCAGCAGCCTCACCGATTGCAGGACATTGAGGGCATCGAATGTCCATGCCATTTCCCACCTCTGCATTCTTCTCATATCCAAGGATGCAATCAGAGACCCGGCTACATGCCCCGAGAAGAACAGGAAAAACGACACATTCCCGACTGGGAAGTCCGCTCCTGACCCCAAAAACCCCTGTCAAAACATGGATTATTACACAACGCGCAAAATGTGAGGTTTATTGATGCGCGATGCATAACGATGGTGTGGGTATTACCTGAGGCAATGGAAGTTGGGTGGAGTAGCCGAGGATGCCCCGGCATGTGAACATGAAGACGGCCGCGATTGTGGGTCTTGGGCGGCCCTCTACTAGCCATGACCATAGTATATATGTGGTCTGCATTGCCACAAACACCTAGAGTGCCAGAAACCAATTCAACACTAAACAATACATAAAAATGCCATTCAATTTTGCACTACTTCAAAGCACATCAAATGTCCCCAAAAACCAAACATTGGATTTGGAGAGGATCAAAGTCTCGATATCTAGGCACCCAAAACTTCAATCACATCAACGACGGATAAATAAATAAATAAACAGAAATATTCTTTTGTCAGACTGTAAATCTGGACCACCGACGAAGTTAGATTTTTCATTTTTCCCTAAATGTGGTGTCTAAATTCAAAGGGTGATAAGATTACCCAAAACATAAGTGGAAATGCACGCTCTGTCAGAAATGCGATTTTGTTCTTAATATGACAAAAAACCCCAATTGCCCAAAAAATGCCAAATTTATTCGATTAAATTCACAAAAAAATTACAACTCTAAACATATCAGGACAAATTAACCAAACCCAGAACAAAAAAACGACGGAGAAAAATACAGATTACAACACAAACCCAGAAAATGCAATTTCTTTAAATATAATTAAAACGCAATTAGAGTTAGCAATTTAGTACCGTGTTAAGGCCAGCGAGCAAGGTGTTAAGCTTGGGCTTGGAAGCCAGGAGGAGGTGGAGGGAGCGGGTGGTGACGAACCCGATATCGAACGGCGGCGACGACGACGGCACCATCCGGAGCGTGTACTCCACGCCCATGAAGAAGAGGACCCCCATTGCGAAGAGGCAGGGTATCCAATGGTGCTTGGCCACGTGGGCGGCGTCATGCAGCCTCCACGTCATGAAGAAGGCCTTGCCGCCGCCGTTGAGACCGATCTTCTTGGCCTTAGAAGAAGAATACATCGCCTCCTCGTTGTGGTCTGCGGGCGAAGGGGAAACGACGCGAATGGGCTTGCCGTTTGGGACCCTTTTGTGCCGAGGCTTGAGGGACGAAACGGCGCCGTTCATTGTGAGTGGGGTTGGAGTTAAAGAGGCTTTTGGGGCAAGCGAGATTGTGGGATGCGGTGATCTATATATAACTAGAGGTTTAGATATTTCTCTAAACAGGATTAGAATTGTTAATTGGAAATTAGATTAATTTAAATGGATTGTTAAGGGACGGGGAGAGCGGAGCATCCAATGTGAAAAAGTGTTGGAAGTTGAGAGAAGGTGGATCTGAGAATCTGTGCGTGGAGAGAAAAGGAAGGGGCATGAGCAAGTGGGTTAAAGGGACACGTGGTCATCAAACGTTGTAATATGTGACTCGTGACTTGTGAAATAGGGACACTAACATGGTCCCGTATACCGTGTGATGTTTTGTGTCAAGAAAAAGACATGTATAAGTTTTTTTGTTCATATGTTTTTGTTTTATTAGCATGCACTATCACATGGTGGTATATTTGTAATATGTAAATAAGGGATCAATTTATGCGAGACAAGTTAATTATCATTGAAGGTGAAAATTTTACTCATAATGATACATGAAAAAGGGAAATGATTTCCATATCATTTTAAAATTCTCACACATCGCTCTTTATTGTGGTCAACTGATTGAATAAATAAAACGTAATCAACAGTCAAAATTAAATATGAGTGTGTAAAAAACGAGTATGTGAAAATCAATTTTTTTGTTGGGTATATACATCGTTTTTCTTGATTGGTTGTTTTCGTGATTTAGGGTGTTTGATTTTAAATTTATGAGATGCCATCATATGCCCAACTAGGTATGGAAGTAAATTCACCTACTCGACTAAAAATGAAAAGAAACAAATTCACTTGCGCTTATAGTACATAGGCATAATTAATTTTGACCATTATGATAAATATCATATGCAATAGTAATATTATGGGCCATTAAAGAATTTAGGTACAAAGTGAAAGTACAAACTGAACCTGTTATAGTTTTACTTCATATTTAATTCGACCAGTTCAAATTCAATACAAAGTGGAAGTACAAACTGAACCTATTATAGTTTTACTCCATATTTAATTCGACCAAGTTCAAATTCGATTCACATAAATTTTAAGTGCAATACTTATTTATGGATTGTTTTGCTATATATGTCCATTGTGATCACATATAAGTAATTCACAATTTTTATCAAACGTGAATTTTTATTTTTTTTTTTTTTTTGGGAGCGTAAAAGGACGGAGCGTAGGTATTGCATGTGTAAGCGACCAGTACATGATTCAACGTACGAATCAGCTTACACCACGTCATTGTGTATTATTGAGCATTTTAACTTGGAAAACAAAAATGTTATTCTTACCATCTATTCGTATCATTTCTTTAATAGAGATGAGACCCCACATGCATTGGCGGACTCTACCTCTATTAGAGAGATGATACAAATTATGGTAAAATAGGTGGTAAGTGTAACATTACTCCTTGAAAAATGTATTTTTTCTGTTGATAAGCTGTGTGGCTTGAATGATACGTAGCAATGATTGTTAAGGTGTTTTAGACTTTAGCCTTTAATGATGATGATGGTGTGTCACGTGTTTTAGCCTTTAGTAATAGTAATTTAGAAAATATTTTTTGCGCACCACTCTAAAGTGATGGTGATGCTCATCAATTTAATAATTACTATTTGATGATTTGATTTATCCTGTTTACTAAACAAATCTCGAAACTTAAACTCATCGACCGGAAAATTCATCATTGGTAAAGTCCCCAATCCAACCGAATCCATTATGATGAAAGAAATACGGTTTTGGAATGTGCGTGGAGAAAAGAATACGAAATCCTAACTCTTTCATCCCAATTAATACTACCTATCTATCACCATCCACCAGACATTAGAGAAAAAGACTTTTCTTCAAAAGCATTCATCTAAAACAACGTAGAGTACTAACTACAGTTTAACAACGAAAACAAAATAGAACACTGAAACACATGCAATCAATTTCTTACGATAAAGTTTCGCTGATGCTTCCTTCACTTGAAAAATCTCTGATAAAGATTACGATCTTAGTAGGTACATATAGCTTTCCCCATCGTACTCATCGGCCGTTTAGTGGGTTGGAAGGGATAAGCTCGCATTTAAGATTGGTTAGGCTAGGGTTGAAAGGGATAGGTTGGGATGCTTAACTATTGTTTGGTGTAAGTAACAACCCACGTCCTTGCTCCACCGGTCTGACGACGCCGTTCCGATGACCACACGAGGTAAGGGCCGTTGGCGACGAATCTGGAGAAAGACGAGATCACTGCTCACGACGAGCGAGGTCTGGAGATTGCTGCTTGTGCATATAGGATTTGTAACCCGTGTGTGAAGTTGAATTAGATAATCCACTTTATTTTAAATTCATAACCTATCATGTCTCGTCTTGTCTAAAATATATTTTGACATAGCAAACATAGGCGTGGGGGCTTAGTGTTTCTTAGCATCTCAATTTACCAGATTTGTGCATGGCGGTTTCACGAAGATTGGTAATTTAAAAACGTAGTGTTATACCTAGGAAAGCTAATTAAACTACAGTAGTTAATCAACGCATGATAGTGTTGCAGGGACGGTACATGCTCTCACCATATTATGAAGAAATGAACACACATAACACTAATCATTGATTAATTAGTAAAGAGAACTCCACAAGTTCTAATTATTGATTAATTAATAAGTAAATAGCAAACCGTGGCACATGATGGATTCCATGCAGTGCATGCACATAAGAAATTAAACTGAAGACAACTAATCCTGTATATTACAGCTGCCTCTCTTCCCGGTGAAGCAATTCACAGTTTACACAAATTATTAGGCTAATAGCAATTCATATACGGGAGAGCGTAGCGGAATATTCTAAAACCAACTTTGGTTATCGTCAATAAAAGTCGAAGCAGATCAACACAATACTTGTTTGACAAAAGTATTTGGAAATAATACCTCTATCAATCTTTTTCAAAAAAAAAAAAATATGATAGTGTCTTATTTGCAAGAAATAAGAACTAGTGCAATGATTTGAACATTGTTTTCTTCTTCTTATTTCGCCTTAAACTCCTCTCTGTCGTTTGGGTTCTCCTCCATGTCGAATGGATTCAATAAATTATAAATCAAACAAAATTACGAACAGTGTTAAATTTGCTTTCCTAATAAATAAATACAAAATTCCTAAGAAATAAATGAAAATCAGAATACACAAAGATATAAAGAAATAAAAACTACAAACTGGTCATTCACAAATTACTTGAAATTAACATTTACTCTTACAGGCAGACGTAAAGGAAAAGACATTTGGAGCACGGACTGTATACGATTAAAAGTTAATAGGAACAACTTTAAAAGCATGTAAATAAGCACAATCTATTTATACCCCAACATCTACAAAAACTCCTAAATATTACACAAAATATTAACCTCTCCAAATGGCTACAGAATTAGTTGATTCTTTCAGGGGTTTGGTTCAGCAACTATTGCAAACCTCATCGCTCGGATTATGTCCGTCAGAGAAACGAGGCCCTTGAGCAAGCCTTGTTGATCCACAACCCAAACTCGGTGCACATGTTTGGTGACCACCTTGTCAATCACTTGACCTAAGGGCGTATCGGATTTGCATACGACCAGTTCCCTCGACGTTGGACCCGCTGTGTTCGATGCTATTGATGCCAATAGAGGGTTTGCAAAGACAGTCTCCGTATAGTCCAGGGCACTCATTGGCAGCCATGTTTTCAGCGTCGCAAAGTGGCAACCCCTCAAATCCGTTGCCGAAAATGTTCCTATAACCTCCCTACCTATGCCCTGCAGTCAAAGGCATAAGAAAATCAATGCCACTAAACTTATACTCCCACATGTTAGTTGTAGACATTTAATGACCACATTGCTGACAACTTCTCTAATAGTGGTGACACCAAGTTTTAGAGTCTACATAGTCGATTGGTAAACGTGGTCAAATATCCTGAAAAAACGTCACTCGTACTTGTATTACAGGCAAACCAAAGTACGATTAACCACTTGCAATATGAACCAATCATTTCAAACAGTACATGTCGCAAACAGAAAAAGAGAAAATTAAATTTCAATGAGACGTACATTTACAAGCTGCTTGTGATCATCTTCATTGTCGGCGTCTGAGGATCTGACAATCGGAACAGCATTCAGCAAAGCTATCCGCATGCACTTTATGGCATCTATAACCATTGTGCGGTCAGTGATGGCGAAAACTCGTTCAGTTACCACTCCCAAATCAGACACCGTCCGTGATAGGATGCCATCGAGTTCGGATCCGGAGCTGGCATGTTCCTTGAGGAACTTCAACACATCCATTTGGGTGAGCATCCGGTAGCTGGAAGCGGATTCCACAAGTTCAACTCCAGCGACGTTGTCCATGTGGCTGTCTACGGGTACCAAAGCACGGTGTATTCCTTTGCTAAATATTTCCATACAGTCTATGATGCTGAAGATCGAAAGTGGTTATAGTTATAATTCGAAGATTGTGAGCAATATCCCACAATTGCATTAACCCCAATTTTTTTAATTTAAAAAATAACTCGTTGCGGCTGACCTAGTAGAACTGACTGTAAATCTAATCCACACATTAGATAATCTCACTCCGAGACTAGGAGAGATTGTAACATAACATGTTTTACAAGAGAAAAATTGATGTAAATTAAAAGTCCACACATTAGATAATCTACACATTTGCTAAAATTCAAAATTAAAAAGAAATTAGTCACCTTGTGTTGGGGTTTAGTGTCCACAAGCTTAAACCCTCAAGGCAGTGCCCTATGATCTTAGACACCGGAACTGACATCTTCTGATCAAGATCAAACCCATCATTAACTTCTTCATCCATCAGCTGATCTTCAGTCCCTGCAATATGAGCCAAGATATCAAGCATGGTGGCCAATCCTATATAGTGCTTCCGCACAGTCCCGGTCTGCTTGTCAGCTTCCATGATCATAGAACCACCGGCTCCAATCCACTGGCCTGGCGGTGCTGCCACGGGCACGGCCAGCACCTTGTTCGCCACCAAAGCGTTCATGGTATGGGCAAGAGTCGCCGTGTACGGCACCTCCACGAGCCTCCGCTTGTTAACCATCAGGTCCCCGACCTTCTTGTCACTTAGCCGTTGAGTACTACTCTGATCAGCCTCGTGAGAAGGCTGCTTGGCGGTGCCGGTGTTGTACTGCTCCTTTGTTTGCTGCATTTTGTTTATTTTTTGAATAATGAGTGGTGGTGTTATTGATATTTATCCGTAAGATGGGTGCTTCGGACTGGTGCGTGTCGAAGTCAGAGCTGCGGCAGTTGCATGGCTGTGTTTGTGTAGCCACGTTAAGAGAAAGGATAGGACTCGGTGGCATAACACGTGTCACGGTCCCGAATTATACATGATGCTGTTTTTAGTATTTTATTTGGTTAAGTACAAAATACTACCTTAACTATTTGTGTAACGACACTTTCATACCTCATCTTTTAAAATTGACAATGTCATACCTCATCTTTAGAATTTGGTCCAATGTTATACCTTCCATTACTTGGCCCGTTTACTTTTCAGTTAAATGCTGACGTGGCTTGATTCGAAACCCACTTTCTGTTAAAAAATTAATAAAACATTATTAAAAACTAAAAAAAATTATTTAATATTTTTTAAATATTAAAAGAAAAGTAACAAAAATTAAAATTAAAAAAAAAAAAACCCTCAGTAACAACCCCCGAAGAAGGAGGAAGAAGAACATGAAGGTTTCCCGATTCCACCTTAATGGGATCTAGGTTTTTTTTTTCCTTTTTTTTTTCTTTTTTACCTCCTCCTTCTTCCTCCTCCTTCTATTGCAGAAGGAGATCACGAAGGTTTCCCGATTCCAGGATCTAGGTTTTTTTTTCTTTTTTTCCTCATCCTTCTTCCTCCTCCTTCTTTTGCAGATTCAGGGTTTTTTTTTTTTCTTCTTCTTCTTCTTCTTCTTCCTCCTCCTTGTTCCTCCTTCTTCTTTTGCATACTGGTTTTTTTTAATATATATAACTTTTCTTTATTATTTTAATATTTAAAAATTATTAAATGATTTTTTTTAGTTTTTAATAATATTTATTAATTTTTTAATAGAAAATGGGACCTGAATCAAGCTACATCAACATTTAACTGAAAAGTAAACGGCCAAGTAACAAAAGGTATAACATTGGATCAAATTATAAAGATGAAGTTTGAAATTGTCAATTTTAAAAGATGAGATATAAAAGTGTCGTGACACCAATAGTTAAGGTAGTTTTTTGTACTTTACCCTATTTTATTTTTACAATGTATCATCTTAATTTCTTGTTAGGGTGCAACTTGGATTACAAGGTGTATTTTACCATCTAAGCTTCTGATTCCGAGACAAAATGTTTCAAAATATTCTGCCCAATTTAAATCCGAAATCGAAATTCCTAACTCTATATAAGAATTGGAAAATGTCAAAAATCCGATCTGAAAATTTTCCAAAACTTGAGCCTTCCTCTGTTAGATACACTCACTCATGCATAATTGATATAGGATATGTTTCAAAGGAAAACTAATGAAAATGGCTTGAAAATTTTTAGTTTTAACGAAAATAATAAAAATAAGGGTAAAGTGAATAATATCAAAATTGACTTTTTTATATGAAAATATGATTTTTTGTTAAAGTAAATAATACCGTGAGCTTTTCGTTATTGCTACAATATATCCTTAAATATTTCCCATGTTTCAATTGTTATTGCTACAATATATCCTTAAATATGATTTTATTCTCTTGAATATGTAACATACGTGAAATGAGAACAACAAAAAAGTATAATATTAGATGTATAGAGAGTCGTGGAAATAAGATACTTTTGAGCTTGATGTATTATATCCACAAAGTATATGACAAGGAAATCTTTTCTTTCACACTTCCAAAATCCACACAACTGAATCATCACACAAACGATGTACATGTCACTCACACATCACATGTTTTGATGAGCCACCAGTACTCCGATAGAACCTAATATCATAACAACACTCCAATACTGACACATCATCGTGATGAGCCTAAGCTCCATGAAGCCTCAACAACATCCTATTCTAATTTCACAAAGATCCAATGGTCGGATCCTCACTATTCACAAAAGTCGAACGATCGTCACATTCTACGATCAAACAATTGAAACTCTACACGGATATTGGATATGGGCTCAGGGCATCGAGAACGCTTAGCAACCCAAAATCCAAATCATCGGAATTTCTCATGCGTTGTCGCCAGTGGCGGATCCATACAGGGACCTGAGAGGTCCCGGGACCCTTCGAAAGTCTGAAGAAACACTTGTGATCAACCTTAGGGACCCTCCAACAATTTGGGCAAGTCCAGAGGGACGCATCTATTAAGAGGCCTGGGTGGTCCTAGCACCACCGGAAATGGGGATAAATTTATGTGAGGTCCTCCAAGGATCACCCAAGTCTGGGCATATGGTGGAGGAGAAGAACAGCGGAGCTGCAGAATGTTCTGGTATTTTGCAAACCAGAAAGAAGAAAGAAGACTACTTTTTATTCAAATGACTTGGGAAAACGGTGCGTTTGATGTATGGTTTGAAAAAAAAACCTTATGAGTAAAACGGTTCAACTTTCAAAATGGTTCAACTTTAATATATAGTTTTTGCAATTTTTTATTAAACAAAATGGTTCAACTTTCAAACAGAGTTGGAACTTTTCCAATTCCATTTCTAACTCCTAATTGGCTAATCCCATTCTCTAGTCATCTCCCCACCCACCGGCACAACCCCAGTCTCCTCCCCCATCTTCACAAACTAACTAGTTCAATTCCAATTTTAGATAATTTCAATTATATTCTAGATATTTTCGCTCTAGTTTACAATAAATCTATAATGACACATTTTTTAGTATGAAACTTCGCCATGGACAAATTTAGTTTTTGTAATTTATATTTTCGTCTAATATTTTTTTGAACTTTTATATTGGGACCACCCAATCTTAAAATCCTGCATTTGCCATTGGGTGCAATGGAGAGGCTTGTTGCCTCCATGGACGTGCAGGCAGCAGTAGAGAAGACATTTTTCGCTATGAATATCATTGAGGGTCTACTCCGCAACAAAATGATAGATCAATAGTTTCGTGAAGAGGACATTTTTCACTATAAATTTTTTTTTCTTTATTATTGGGACCCCCCGAGTCTAAAATCCTAGATCCGCCACTGGTTGTCGCATGAGCTGGTTTTTGGCGAACGGAAACATAGTTTTCCTACCAATTTTCAAGCATGTAAAACTTAACACGAGGAACAACTTTTATACTTTCTAGTAAGTCCTAAAGTAGACAAAAGACAGCCAAAATTGCCAGTGAAGGTCATCGGTACCTTATACGCCACAACATCAATTTGCCGCCTATGGTGGGTCCAAAGAGGCCTAGGTTGGTTGGGTTTTCCTCTTGGGATGATGGGCTACAAGTTCCAGGTGGTGGAGTCGGTCACTACTAAGCAATCCGCTGAAAAAAGAATAGGGCCGTTGAAACCTAAGAAATTTGCATCCTCGCACCACTGCGTGTGGTGGCTTATCAAGGAGGTTCTTGGGTGAGTTTTGTAGAGAGAAGTGAGGAATCTAATTCTAGGTAAATGGCGCCACCAATTTTACCTGATATGGCCGGAATTCACATCGAAAATCTCAAAGGAAACGGGCTAGTGAGAAATTTAACCCTAAACCTTAAACACTCAATTTTGATGCTCAAAACTTCTTCGTTCTAAGGAATCAGGCGCCGTTTACGCCTATGCACTCGTAGAATCTATCTATACATTCTAAACCACCTCCATACACCAAATGAAATTTAAAATGACCAAAACGCTCTTGAAATCATTTTTTTCCAAAATTATAAAATAAATAATAAATTTCCCCCCGGGGGGGGGGGTGATATTTAGTTTCAAGTAGCTATATGTATGCAGTGTGTGGCATGAATATGCATGGGCTTTGTTATTATCCTAGGGGCCATTTGATAACCAATTTTTTTTTCATTAGTTTTTGGTTTTTAGTTTTCACTTTTTGAAAATTGAAATCTTGTTTAATAACCACTTTCACTTTTCAAATAACAATTAAAAAGTGAAAACTCAAGGCCAATACTCAAGAAAACAGTTTTCAATTTGTGGTTCATAGTTTTTTTTTTTTTTTTTTTAAATTAAAAATAGTTACTAAACAAGATTTCAATTTTCAAAAAAGTTTAAACAAAAACTGAAAACATAATAATTATCAAACGCCTCCCTAGTTAATGTAGAGTCGAATCTAGTGTAATCGAACATATGGATTGCTTTATCTGAACTTTTCCGCAAACAAATAGATAATAAAAAAAAAAGGAAAAAAAGGATATGGGGATCAACTTAAAAAACTACAACTTGAGGATACTACAAATTCGGAGAAGAAAATTGACGAATGCCTCAACAATGTTTGACGAGTTTGCCTCAGGGTTGGCCACAGGAGTGCCAATTGCCCTTGCTCCCAAACGTGTCTCAGATGGCGTAACAGAGGTTGGCAAGGGCTATGTAGTAGCTTGTTTGTGTGGTCCTGTGGTGCGTAGCAGTGCAAAAGAGAATGCCCGAAGCAAAGAGTTTGGACAACATGACGCTTTGGAATGCCCGAAGTTGATAGCATATGCAAAAGAGAATGCGAAAGCAGAGTTGACCTTGTATATCTAATGACATGATCCAGTTGAGCTGAGGATTGAGATGTATGAATGTTGCAGCTGCTGTATTGTTTAGGGACGTCATTTCATGGCGGTTCCTTAATTTCCTCTTTCTTTTCTTGATTTTGACCACATATGTCACGTCTGCCTTGGAATAAGCTAGCTAGCTAGCTCCGTCGTCATTCATGGCTGGTGGTGGCGGATAGATACAAATATCCAAAGAGTTGATAGTGGGGATTTCTAAGCATGCTGGGTTCACAATTATGTAAAATATATGCCAAAGGTTGTTTGCATCTATCAGCTAGTGTTTAGTTAACGGGGAATATGTTGAAAATTTTAATAATATTATTATTATATTAAATTTATTAATTGAATGGAAATTAGAAGTAGAGTTTTTTAGTAAAAAAATGTGTATACTTAAATGAAGAGTTGTAACTTTTGACTCTTCATGAATAATCACATACTTTCTAAAGAGGTATCTCACATTCTATAAATAAGGAAGCCTCCTATAATCAAAAAATAACTTTTCGTTGTTTACATAATCATACATAGAGTGCATTAA